AGACAGGACAGGCATCAATGGAGTTAATTATCGACTAGCAAGAGTGTGCCTTAGAAGGCAGGTTACTGGCACAGATTCAGAGTGCTAGCCGCGCCCCCACTCCCCCCAAATGTCTTATATTCCCCATCAGGGTTACAGAAGAGAAAAGAGCAACAGTGTCAGAAAGAACATTGGTTTGGGAGTTAGGAAATCTGTGTTCTAGTACCAGTTCTGCCATCAAATATCTGTGAGATTTTTAGGATGTCATTTCCCTCTCTAAGCATCAGTGTCCTTATCTATCAATGAATAACCTCTGAGGTCTTTTCTATCTCTGAAGTTCTGTATGGTTGCTTTTCTTCTAGCAGTTGTTGAGAATTCTGATGAGCTAGATTCTGTGCCAAACACATAATCATGTTTGATTATATAAGTGATTCTGAGGTACATTCTATTATTATCCAATTTTACAGATGAGAAATCTGGAGAACAGAGAGGTTAAGTAACTTGCTAGTAAGTGGCAAGTGGGAGAGTTTAGAACATAACTCTAAAGCCCATTGGGTAAAAGACAAATGTGTGTGTGCAAATGATGGAGCTACTGAATCTGCAATATTCATCAGGCCATTGGGGAGGATGTCTAGAAATAAAGAGCTGAGTAACATTGATTTGACTTCCACGAGCAGATATAAGATATCGATTTTGGATAAATTTGTTGATCGTTGATGCCAATTGAAGTATTTGTGCAGATTGTTGAAAATGAAATTATTTTGTTATAGAGCAAAATGCTGCGCAGCTTTTAATTCATAGATCTCAAAGCACTACCAAATCACTTCTGCTTCATAAAATGCCTTTGTTCGTTGTCACTTGCAATGACATTTCCCCGATCTCCCCTTCAAGTTAAAATATTTTTCTGTACCCTCATAAAAAAAGAGGCTAAAAATAATGGGTAATATTATAATAGGCAATTCATAATCAGAGAATTGATTTAAGGTCTATTATGACAGGCAAGCAAAAGTAAATTTTAATGCAGTCTTTTGAACAACAATTTTTCCTCTTTGGAATGCTCAACAAACTGACAATTTGTCATTTTTTAAAGGTTTTATATTTTGGATTGTCATTATGCTAGGTAATATGCCATATATTCTCTTCTATGAGGTAATGTTTCAAGTAGAAGTTACTTGAGGTTTTCCATCTCCGAGGAAAAATGCTTATTATATTACTTCTTGAAGTGCATTGTTCTTAAAAATAGTAATTATCAAACTTTGTTTTTTATGAGGAATAATTTACATACAGTAAAATAGATTTTAAATTCAATGACTTTTGATAAATAAATTATATATACCAGTGTTATCATCATTCAAATTAAGATAAGACACATTTTTAGAATCTTCACAGGTTTCTATGTGCCCCTTTTTAGTCAAATTCTCCCATCTAGGACTACCACTGTAGATACGTTGTTTTTTTTAGCCTATTCTTTAACTTCATGTAAATGAAATAATTAATTGACATATTGTTTTGATATTCATCTGTATATTTGCAAGTTTTTCCTTTTTATTGCTGGCTAGAGTCCTGGTGCATAAAATTTGTGCACAGCAGGGGGTTGGGGGGCGGGGCTCAGCCCAGCCTGCACCCTCTCCAATCTGGGTCCCCTCGGGGGATGTCTGACTGCTGGTTTAGGACAAAGAAGAGGCAGAGGGTGTATTCATGTGCTTCTTCTTAAGGATGGTGAACGAAAACTACAATTTGATACTGCTGTCTGTTTTCCATTGGCCATAATGTAGTCACGTGCCTACACTTAACTTCAAGAGAGTCTGGGAAATGTAGTACTTATTTCAGGTAGCCAAGAACCTAGGTAAAAATTGGGAGGCCTCGTAGCAATCTCTGCCACATATACATTATTTTATTTGATCCTTATAGTGACACAGATGGGTGTCGACCCATTTTTACACAAGGAAAGCAAACACGAGAAAGACTACAGAGATGAAGGTGCCAGAACCAGATCCCAGGTTGTCCGATTACTAATGCTGTGTCTCTCCCCATGTGTTACATTGCCCCTAATGTTTATCACCTGCTTCACACATAGTAAGTACTCAGTAAATGACAATTATTTCTTTGGATTCTTTTGGACCTCCTTTTAGTTCCTGCAGTCCCAGTTTTCTGCACTGTGCACCCTTTCTAGTACTGCAGGATGATTTTGGCCTTATGGCAAGACCATTTCCCTCCCAGGGAGAAGAGTCTACTTACATATTTGAAGTTCTTGGATTTACATTGCTTTCCAAAGTGAATCAGGCCAGTGGTGTATGAAGGGCAATGGATACACCCAATTCTTCATAATTGGATGGGTTTTCCTCATTTTGGTCTTAATAGTCAATTCAGTGCAGTACAATTAAATCAGGAGAGAGGGAGCATTCAGTGAAACAGCTCCTCTCCCGGCCTCCAGCCTCTCTCTTTTGTACTGGATCATTGTTGGATGAGAAATTTCCTTTTTTTTCTGCCTGAGGTAGTCCATGTGCAGTGGCTTAATTGATTTGTATGAGTTTCATTTCTATGGGGCCAAAGGTTATGTGATTATATTAGAAAAAGGGTTAATACAGGTGTTTGAATTAATTTACTGATTAACTCTTGTAAATCTGGCCCTAGAGGTGGCTCACAGCAATTGAGCACTATCTCCTTAGTTTGTTTTTTAAAATCACCTTGTCATGTGTTTGAGAATGTACCATGGACATCAAATTAAATACTAATTCTCTGCAATTCAAATGCATTGTCTTACATGTGTTAATCTTCCTATAGCCGGTTAGATATTACCTGACTAAAAGAAAGCTCGTGGAGTCTCTACATCTTTAAAAAGCTATTTTATTATGGTCAAAACATTTTTCTCAATATCAGGTTTTCTCTCCTCTTTATTTCCCCATTAGGTCTTAGCAAAGAAAATACAAGTCCAGAATGTTTTATACAAAAAGTACCTGAGCATACAAACAGAATATCTATTTATTGAACTGAATAATTTATCTTTATATTCCCAAACACTTTACAAAGAAGTGTGTTATTTCTGAACCTCAAATAGTAGAGTTGGTTCCGAAAGCCTTGGTCATTGCTTTACGCAGAGATAGAGCGGAATGTGAAGAGAGCTGCACTGTAGGCATATGACTACAGTATGGCCGATGGAGGGTGGTGCTGGGTGCCCTGGCCTTTGGCACCAGCCTGTTTGCCTTTGAATCTCATCTCAGCGTTTCTACTTGCCAGTCATGTCCCTTAGGCAATTAATTTCTTTATGTCACAAATTATTATCTATAAATTAGGGCTGGCAGTGATACTAACTAGTAGGGTTTTGAGGATTAAAAATAAATATGTATTATATTTAGACAGTGACTGATGTAAGTTGTACTACATCAAGTGCATGCTATAATTATTTGGTCTTTGTCTCCAAGACATGGTTTTTACTCAACATGAACATTGATAAAAGACATACAGCATTCCTGTAAGATACACAGCACCACTCCAAATGGCCTGATTGCTGATTGGGCCATTTTTTTCTTAGAATGGCTCTGGGTTCATGTGAGTTGAAGCCAGAGAGCAATTGTCAGGAGTGAGGGCTTTGGAGTAAAACGGGTTAGGGATTAAATCTTGGCTCTTCAACTTGTAAGCTGGGTGACCTTAGGCAGGTCACTTACTCCTTCTGAGGTGTGGTTTCTTCACCTGCAAAGGATCATTGGGGAAAGGACCAAAAGAGACAAAGTGTGGAAAGTACCTGGTCCATGGTAAGGGCTCAATAAAAGGTAGATTTTTATTGCTGTGCTTAAGTCCTAGAGGGAGAAAATCCAACAGCTCAGACCAGGAAGCATGGGGCATTTTCTCCCTTCATGTATACATTTCCCTGGGTGCGATGATAAAAAAAACATCCTTTGCTGGATTAATGTCTCAAAAAGCTACGAATGTTAACTTCATGTTGGCTAGTTATATTCAATTATTCAGAGCAGGTGAAAAATCTTTTGACAAATTGGATTAAATTACAGCTGAAGTGTAAGAACATATTCCAGTTTCCAGCAAGCATGAAATTCCACTGTAGGGCTGTGTCTATGCACATACAATTAAAAAACCTACACTTTTTAAAATCAACATTTTGATGGAATTTAATCACTCTTCAAACAGTTGTGTGTGTGCTTTTCTTCTTCTTTTTTTGCTACATTATAAGCTGAGGTACAAATTAAGCTATGTGTACATTTAAATGTAAAATCATCATTGTTGATAATTTGCCTCCAGTTTTGTACAATACACTTGTAACTACTGTGATGTGGGAGCATAATTACATTACAGTGTTGAATACAGCTGTCCTATACCTGTCACATCACTGTATGTTATTTTGGTTGTCTTATATTTTGCATAACACATGATGTCAACAAATATTTATTGCAAATCATACGCAAAGTAGCATGATAAACTTGAAGGAAACTTAAAGTAATGCCTTAGAAACTTGCCTTACATAAATGGCTTTTTATTTTAACCAGTTCAAATAATTACCTAATAAGGAAGAAATTCTCTAATGGGTCATGATGTGAAAAGTGATGGAGAAAGTAATTGAACTCCAGCAGCCTGGGAACCAAGCTCTGGTCCTCTCCTCTCCTTTTGCTTCCTTGGGTACCATCCATTTGTCCCAGAAGGTACATCAGCTTCTTGCAGAAACCATCTGGTCACTCTCACAGGCTCCCTGTGGGCTGCTGGTCATGTGAGACAGGCATTAGTGGCAAAATTTGTTCAGTCCACTTACGCTATTCATTGAATAGCAACTAATGATCAGAAGATTTTATTAAGGAGTTCCCAGGTTTCAATATTGACTTAATTGTAGATCTTTTTATTTTCAAAAATATCTATATGAAAACGATTGAAATAAAACATTAGAAAGACTGATCATAAAGAATTAGAAAATTTTATAAATATAAGAAGGTAAATAAGACCTACGATCACAAATTGATTTGGAAATATTATTAATATCTATTAAATAGTTTCTTAGCAAATAAACCCTTGAAATACAAAATTCACCTCATTTAAGTTTTGATCAAGAAGTTCAACAACAATCATGAAGTCCACAGTCTTAAAAGCAAAACTGATATACAGTGTCCCTAAGTCACTATACTCAAGGTATACATATTCCATTTTTACATTTTACTGGAATTTTACATGTTCAATTCATGATTTTAAATCTCTAGGTCTTCATTCCTCCAAACTGTCTGAAGACACAGTGTGCCACAGACTTAAGACTTCTGTTTCTCCCTCTATTTTTTTCAAACAGAAACGTTTCTCAAGTGTCTACGTGTCCTGGAAGGGGAATTTTTCGGAGGTGGCCACTTCTTCAGAATAGTCCCACGCCATCAGGCCTCTGAAGCAAGGGGTGGGGGAAGAGGAAAAAGCTGAAACACAAGGTTTATCTGGTTAAGTTTTACATTAACCATTACAAGCTGGATAGTATAAGAATGTGGATTTTTTGGCTCAAACAGTCTGAGTCCTGCTGTGGAAAGGAGTGCTTGGCTGTCCCACCACAGCTTTCCCGTAGTGGGACTGTCAGGGAAGTCCTGACTGGGGAGTATGATTTGTTTACCTGTCAGGCGTAAACTTCCAGGCACTCAGTTCATTTTGGGCTTGTTCCAGTTTGTCTGTAGTCTGCTCCAGTTCACCTTTCATTTTTAGGAAAAACAAGTTGATGGCGGGGTCTACCATTGTTGATCTCAGTTGGGTGACACTGGGCTGCTGGACTTGCCTGAGGTACTGGATTTGAGTGGTACACTCTTGCACCTCTTGCTCTTTGGTTGCTAGTCAGTCGCATTACAAGGATGTTTCCCCTTCGTGCAGACTCTTGTTGTTGTTGCTTTAGTTTTTCTTCTGACTCCTGTAAGCCAGTTACATCATTGGAGTTTAGATCTGTGTACCTGCCCTCCAAAGCTTGCACATATGCTTCATACTGTTTCCATCTTACAATTAACTCATCTCGTGCCATAAGTTTGAAGTCTGTCTCACTCAGTCGGACTTTTTTGGGAAGAGGGTCCTCGTTGGTCATCTTGAATCCTTAATGGTGAAGAGCATTAAATCAAGGACTGTCATTAGAAGAAAAAAAATTCCTAGCCTTAGACTTAAAGTCTATGACTTGGTATGTTATCTGCCTTGGTTACTTGTCACATTGATTAGTTCAGGGATAGGCACAGGGTTAACAACAATGAGAGGTAAGGAGAGGTTTCTGGAATTTCCTGGAAAGGGAGCTTTCCTGAGTTTCTGTGGGAGGTACCTAGAAGGCTGCCCTTTGCCTATGAGCTTGCATAAGGAAGCAGCATGTAGCCTTGGGAAGTACTTATGACTATGAGAGAGCTGGCGCCTGAAAGAAATTGGGTATTTCCTCCCATAGTTGGGTGGTCTGTCAAGCCTGACCTAAAGCTCTCTTTATCTATGGCCTTTTTAGGTAACTAAGCTAATAAATCACTTTGCTATTTAATCCAGGCCAAACTGAATTTTCTCTTAGTTGCAACAGAAATTATCATAAGTAATATATCTTTTTCTCAGTCATCTGACTTAGAAGCTCAGTCTTTCTTTTATCAATGGAGAGTTTGCAAGGTACTAATATCACCAACACTGGCTTATGATAAGTCTTGCCAATGAGAGATTCTTGTAAGTGCTGAATATCTAACACTAGGTTCAACCTTCCCCCAAGAACTTAACATTATCTCATTCAGGCCTGAATGGTTCTTGCAGATATTGCTAAAACCCTAGCACATTCTCTTCGACCTTTGTAGTTATCCCAGCCAATTTTGTCAATAACATTCCAATTTGAGGTGCTTCCTGGGGCAGAGCATTTCCCAGGGTTGCCTTCAGTCTTTCCACCTGTAATGACAACTGTCATCATTTCGTCTAGGAGCCCTTAGTGAAGTCACCAAAACAATCAGATATTTAATGTTTGTCTTAATTTTCCATGGGAAAGATTTGAAACTAAGAAATTGTTTTTATGTAAATATCACCAAAACTGATATGCACTTTCCTCAGAAGACAAAGTTTATGTTATTGCACCAAATAGGATATTTATACTTGCAAAGTCGCTGTAAAGCATCTTGTTCCCAAAATGGTGCCAGATTGCTCTTTCATGTGGTTGGTAAGGATTGCAAAGAACCTGCTCATATAAAAATCCTCTAAGGGGTAATTGAGTTAGGGCTGGATTTCATTTTTTATGTCCGAAGAGATTATAAGGGGTACTGGGTCATTTCCTGCCTGGGAGCCAAAACCTCTGTATTTACTTAGCAGAGTGAGAGATCCAAATATGCTTGTTCACATGGAAAGAGAATCTACCTCACATACAGGGCTCAGACAAGAGCAGTAACACCAGGATGCTATGTAGGGTTATTTCGAGTACAGAAACAAAGCCAGCATAACTGTTGACTCATCTCTATGTCTTTGTTCAGTCTGAAATTTCTACCTCATTGCTTACATTAAAAAAAAAACACATTAAATTAGGGCCAACCTAAAGAAGAGAACCACTGCACGTTGTGGCACATGCCTGTCACACTAGTGAACGTTCTCCAGCAGGGAGGTCATACGCCTTCTAACCCTGTGAAATAAAAGGAGCCACTAACGATGCTATTTACTCTCTTTTTGGGATTCAACCAAGTTAGTATTTGTTCAGTGATTTAAAAATGACATGATGAGGTTACACTTCGGAGTAAGTCATTTGTTTGCATAAAGAAGATGCATTTTTGCTTTGACACCTCTTCTGTTCAGAAATTATGATCTGTGCCCTGGGCTATCAAACATCATGCATAGAATTATTCACAAAGGGTTTATGGTTCAAGTGGTAAATCCAGGCATTTGCAAAATGTTGACCCAAGCGAGTCAGCACAGAAAGCCCGATCTTTCAGTTTGATGAAAATGTAATTTTATGGATGTCAAGTTGAAGTTCAAAAGTGATATATCGTGTCACGCAGATAAATAGTTTTGCCAAAAGCAATGCCACAATTCATAAGCACTTGTCTGGCCAATAGCAACTATCAGGCTGATTTAGCCAAATGCTTGCTAATAAATGCAGTCTTTATCCCAGATTATGCATCAGTCTTTTCTGACTAATAAAGATTGCCCTATTTAAGCACTGAAATGAGATCTACAAGTCAATATCCAACATAGAAATACTTAGAGACGTGCTTCTTTTGCCCTCACAAAGATAAATTTCAAAACAATTCCAAACAATGAAGTATGAGTATCTGATATGCTTTCTCCCCTCAGCTCCTCTCAGACCCAATGGGATAGCAAGGCTGGGGACAAAATAAATGTGAAGAAAATCATAAAATATTAGCTGTTTTTTTAAATGTGTTTTTAATGCTGAGGAGGAAACAGTACTTAAATAAACTTCTTTACAGCCCAACCCCCCAGTGGCTACCTATCAGACCTCCCTTGGTCCCCAGACATTTTTCTGGCCCTGAGGCCCAGCAGCCAGCTCAGTCACTTGGGACTTCCTGCAGGTTTGGAGGCCCCATGTGCTTTTCTACCTCTGTGGCCTGCAAACTCTGCATGGCTGCTATGCCGCGGGTGGCCTTCTCTTTATGGAACTTCTGTTCCTCTCCCACCTCTCAACTCAGTTTCTATCTTTTGAGAACATCTCCCACTTGCCAGGCAAAGCAGCACCATTTATCTCTTGTAACTTGACGACACTGTTACCACTGTCATCACTTTGAATCGGGGGACTGTCTCCTCTACTGTGCTCTGAGGACAGGAAAAAGGTATTTCATTTTTGTGTGTGTTTGTGGTGCCCTGCACAGTGACTGACAGACACATTCTAAGTAGTGAATGAACAATTGAGGCTTTATTTAACTTGCTCCAAAATCTTTCCCAGAATAACAATCTGTCTGCTTCCTAATTTGACAGCAACCATTCCTTTATTTGTTATTCTCCTAGCTGTTAGACACACTCTTTGTAGCAACTAATTTTGCCCTTGGAGATATACTTTTGCATTTTAATGTCCTCTTATTAAGAATTTTGCCTTCTGAGGCAAATTCTTTAGCCCCCTTAATAAAAAATTTGCCTTATACTGAATTCCTTATGTTATTATTTTTTTTCTAACTCTCCCCCCTCATATTCCTGCTCATAGGAGGAACTGCACACATACTGTTGAAGAGATGAAATTAAAGAGATTTTCTGGTATATTGAAATTCTATTTTTTTATTTTCTTCTCTCATCTCATTATTCAACAAGAAATAAAAATGGTAGTCAGTACATCTTTAATTTTAAAAAGTTGATTTATAGTAAAAACATAGTATGGTCATTATCTTGAATTTATAAGGAAAGCTGCTCTTTGAATTTCTGTGGAAAGTAAAGGTCAAACCATAAATAATTAAGCGTATTAAAATTGGCTATTTATGTCAGCCAGGAAACATAGTGGGAATGTGTATATTTTCTGTGGAGAGAAATTTGATCACAAATCACTCTTTTTTTCCAGACATCCTTGACAAATGGATAGTAAGGACATTTAAAAAAAATGGATTTGCCGATCTTTGCTTTAAGGATTTTTTTTTGGCAGGTTTCTTCTTCTTTTTTCCCTACTCTTTATTGATTAAAGTATTACATATGTCTCCTCCCCACCCCTTTTGACCTCTCCCTGGCCACTCCCATCCCCCTAAAATCACTCTTTTTTTCCAGACATCCTTGACAAATGGATAGTAAGGACATTTAAAAAAAATGGATTTGCCGATCTTTGCTTTAAGGATTTTTTTTTGGCAGGTTTCTTCTTCTTTTTTCCCTATTCTTTATTGATTAAAGTATTACATATGTCTCCTCCCCACCCCCTTTGACCTCTCCCTGGCCACTCCCACCCCCCTCGCAGCACATGCCCTCACCTCCCTAGTGTCTGTGTCCATTGGTTATGCTTATATGCATGCATACAAGTCCTTTGGCACGTTTTTTGAAGAGATACAGGTGAATTTCTTATTTCCTAAATGATTTGACCTTTAAAGGTATGCAATAGCTGGTGAAAAAGGAGAGGGCCGTCAGTATCGAGAAAGTTCTTTCTTTAATTTAGGCAATTTGATATTATTACATTTCCCTGCAACCTGAAAATGCTTATTTATGCATTAATAACAGCAGAGTTGGTGCACATCTGAGGCTTTCTTACTAACAGCAGTAGAGACACTCCTGGAATCCCAAATCTACATTGTGGGGGAAGTTACCCATTGACAACACAGACTGTGTAACTGAGAGTGAAAAAGTTTTAAAAGGTTTCACTTCGTGGCTTAATACATTTATTAAGTACCGTATTTGCCGGCGTATAAGACGACTGGGCGTATAAGACGACCCCCTAACATTTCCACTCAAAATACAGAGTTTGTTATATACTCGCCGTATAAGACTACCCCCTCTTCCGCACACCTTCCACACACCAAATAAAAGGTAAAACAATATCAGATTTGATTTTAACATTTTAATTTATATTCAAATGCTTATGACATGCAGGAAAACTGTCACAAGGCTGTATGTAATCAAACATATACATAAAACAGTGCAAGTTTATTACCGGTAAACATACCGGTAATTCACTAAAGAAAACACACTCTATAGACTGGTACCGTAGATGCTTCTCAGGAACACAGGCAAGCAGCCCACAACCTAGAGGGACTGTCAATGATAGAAGAAAGAT